ATCTAAGACTGATCAGCAGGCCAAGGCAGCATCATTAAGCTATCAAAATGCAGTGAACCTGATTTATACCCTGTTATAGCTCTGACTCACTTCAAAAGGGTTAGGGGCCAGCACCTGGACAGTACACCATTAACCAAATACCACTTTTGGGCAGTTACTGCCAGGGCATTTAAAATTATTGGTTTGGGACGTTTGAAGTTTGCAACCCACTTTTTCTGTATTGGTGAAGCTTCCTCAGCTGCCCTATTAGGTTATGAAACGGAAATAATTAAATCCCTGGGTAGATGGAAATCCAATGCCTTCAGGAGATATGTTCGCACACCTTTGTCATAAGTTTGTTAACAGTTTGTTATTTATTGTTTCAGATCCAGTTTTGCTGAGGCATAGATGGAGAATCCTTTTATGTGGACATAGCTATGTTCACTGGGCCGAGCAACATGCCAGGAAGACTCCGTATGGCCAGCACTTGGGCCTCGCTTCCATTGCCACAGTGGAATGGAGAGGTGTACGAGGTTTGCATTGGGATGGTTTGATCCCCCTGTTGTTTCAGTTCAGGAGTACCCCCCCCCCCCGACATTTTGGTCATTCATCTTGTTGGCAATGACCTTGATGTGTTGAAAGGTAGAGCTCTCTACCTGCAGGCGTGAGATGGCATCTGTAAGATTTGGCAGGCATGGCCCCAGGTTCACATAGCATGGTCAGCGATCATTCCACACCTCAAGTGGGCAGGAGACAGTGATGTCAAAAAGTTTGAAAGGCCCAAGAAGCGTGTGAACAGGGCCCTGTGTACAGCATTGAACCTTGGTAGGGGGTCTTACATATATCCACACAACCAGATCACTCACAACAAAACACACTGCTACCGTACAGATGGAATCCATCTGTTGGATTTTGCTAATACTCAATTTTTAGAGGATTTGAAGGTAGGTGTTCAGTCAGTGTTAGAGGACTTGTTGGGGGTTGGGAGCAAAATAGACATTTGCTCCCAATCTGTGGCATAAATAGATTAGAAATACAAAGGTTGGTGTACACCTAAGGCATCCCTTAAAGGGTATGGGCCATTACACAAACACTCACCTAGAGGTTAACTTTAAGGGTGAGGTGATATCGAATGGCCCAGGAATGGGGAGAGTCTGGTCTCAATAATTTGAGAGAGACTTCTCTGGACGTTTCACTTAGAGGTTGTCCGGGTTTAACTTACCAGGGGACCCAGGTGTTACGCGCTGAATAGTCGAGGGGTAGGCTGTATAAAGACGCTACCTCAGCTTTGCCACATCAAGTTCAACTGACACCTAAGTTAGTTTAGTTAAAAGTTTAATAAGCAACAATCAAAGTTGCCCAACACTTAAATCCAAATTGCTGTTGTCTTGTCTCATCATTTCGGGGTTTGGCAAGCAAATGAAGTTGCTCTGTTTATCCTGGCCTTGCTTGCTGTGTGCTGTTGGATGGAAGAAGGAAGTAAAAAGGAAAGCGAACTGTGCCCACTCCTGAAGAAGTCAGGCTACAGTAGTACATACCTGTTTAGATTAGTGGAATGTACTGCATTTGAAAAGTGCTCAGAAACATCAGCTGAACCAATGAGTGGCACCCAGATTATTAACTGGGGCTAGCAGTGGCTACAAGGAGAAGACAGCCCCCATTGCAACAGCTTCACAGGCTACTAACACTTTTCCACGCACAATTCAAAGTACTGGTTTAGACCTATAAAGCCCTATACAGCTCTGGTCCAGATTATTTGAAGGAGTGTGTCTCTCTTTATGAGCCAGTTAGAATATTGTGATTATCTGGAGAATAGAGGGGCACCATTACTTCCCTTGATCTTGACACGATACTCCTTTCGATGCAGCCCAAAATCCCATTGGCTTTTAAAGCTGCTGTAACACATTGTTAACTCATTCAATTTATGGTCCACTAAGGATATTATTCCACACACCCCCACTACCAATTTCTAAACACTTCTAAAACAGTTGAAAAATGAAGATAAACAGACCCTACTAGGAAGAAGCAGGATTGGAAGAGAAAGTCTAAATCTACAAAGTACTGTCTATCTTATATGAATATTGCCTTGGAGCTATTAGGGAGTAGCAGGATTGGAAGAGAAGATCTACCGTATATCTCCAAAGTTTTTTTTTCCAATGTGTTTTTTTTGTTTTGTGTTTTTGTTTGCTTTGTTAGTTTTGAGCAGGTGGGAACTGCACTTCCTCATATGATAAATCTGAAAATGGATGATTTTGGGAGAAAAGGCAAGAAAGAACAAGGTGTGATGGGATCTGAGACATTATACAATTAAGTTTCTAATGCAATGAGATGTAACACTATGGTGATATGTTGCTTTCCCTCCCTTGTGGGATGACGTCCTAAGTAGGGTTGTGATGGATCCTTTTTAAGAAACAGTCTTCATCTGGTTCAGCTTATTCGGACGCCCATAACAGCAAGGGCTCAGCTACCATATTTTTTTCGTCCAAAACAGACCACGCAGTTTCCGATCATGGCTACTTTTGGTTTCTATTCAGGAACACACAGAGCATGGAGAGGCTGCCGCATGCTCACACTGGGTTTCCCTGTGAGCCCCATCTGTTGAGCCAATCAGAATAAAAGAAAGTTGTGACGTGTCTTATCCACGCAGGTTTTATATAAATGGGGTGAGTGCCTCTATTTCTCAGTTGTGTCCTAGCTCTAGGGAGAGGCAGATTGAACATTCTTCAGTCCGATTGCCACTCGCAGCTTTTGTTTTTGCCTTGGCTTGGCTTTGCCTTCTACTAGCATTTTGGCTCCAAAACAAATAGCATTTGAAGCAGCAAATCTGTTTCTTTGAATCTAATTTTATTATTTGATTTTCCTTTATTGCCTTGATTCTTTATTTAGTGGGACTGGGAATTGGAAAGTGCGAGTGGGTGGGTGAACATTTGGGGACTTGGGAGAAAGAGCACCTCTTGGGTGGGTGAGTGTTTTTCTTTAAAAATATTAGGGTGGCTCTGAGCCTTGACTGAACTCTTTAGCTTCTCTCCTCTCCTTATATTTTTCTCCTCCCTCCCCTTCTTCAGAATATACTTTATTTATTCTTATATTTAAAAGATTATTACTAATAAGAATTCCAGCAAACAGCAAAGCCTTAGTCTCAGAAAAACCACTACCTACTACCAGTTGCTGCTGTTTTTTTATTAGTAAAGAAAGTGTAATAGTGGGCTATGTGATGGGGAACTCTGCATCTTTAACAGTTTGGCATTTGGCAGAAAGAAATCATGCCCTGCTGCCACGCCTGGAGAAGTTACAGAGCGTGTCCAGCAGGGATACCTTTTTGGGTATTTTTAAAGGAGATTTTATTTCTAGAAAGTTAAGCATTTCTTAAAAGGGGGGGGGGGGCTAACAGTGGCAGATGTGTCCTCCAAGTGTGGCCATTTTCATCCCAATAACACTAAAAATTGTGGGAAGGGGAGACTGGGAAGCCCTTCCCCCATTGCCACCAGTGGCCACATTTCCCCACATTTTTCAGCTGTGGACCTGGCATCCAAACAGTTTTTGGATGCCCGCTGTTTTTGGGAGGGTTGAAAACACAGATACACGGGTCTGTAGACATTTTGATACTGAAAACTGAATGTGGTTCAGCCAAATTGCACAACCCTAGTCCTAACACTCCAAGATTTCTTTCACACGTAGTGTTGCAGAGCAGGTGCCACCCATCCTGTATCTGTGCATTTCATTTTTTCTAAGTATAGCATCCTACATTTCTCCTGTTGGAGAAATTTTACAAAAATGTGGCTCCCTTCTCTAATCTGTTAAGGTTATTTTGAATTCTGATCCTGTCTTATTTATTTTATTTATTTACAATATTTATATACTGCCTTTCTCACCCCTGGGGGGACTCAAAGAGGTTTACACATAAATAATGGCAAGATTCAATGCCTTACATTGGACACCGATACGATGGCAATACAAACAATTACAATAGTAAAACCACAATTAAACATAAATCACAATTAAAACAATACATCAACAAACATTAAAACAATAAAACAGTTCCGTCAGTCGAATCGCCGTTCCAGTCAATGTCCCTCTAAAATGCTACATACATGTACTGTCCGAAGGCCTGGTCCCAGAACCATGATTTCAATTTTTTTTCTAAAAGCCAGGAGGGAGGGAGCAGATCTTACCTCATTTGGGAAGGTGTTCCATAGGCGGGGGGGGGGGGGCACAGCCGAGAAGGCCCTGTCTCTTGTCCCACCAGACGCATTTGTACTGTTGATGGGAGCGAGAACAGGGCCTCCCCGGATGATCTTAGATTACGAGGTGGAATGTAGGTGTGAATGCGTTTGGACAGGTAAGCTGGGCCAGAACTGTATAGAACTGTATAGGTCAAAACCAGTACTCTTCTCGAGTACTAGCTCCCCCTCCTAATTTGGTGATCAGCATGCCCTTTTTGATCAGCAAAGCAATGGAGGGTTAAAGAAGAAAGAGCCCATACAAGGTGCTGACAGAAGATCTACTACATTCAGCCTTTTCAGTAGGTTCGTGGATCTTCTGCCTTGCATCTGCCACAACAGATTTGAGACCCTATTTAAAGTAGACTCGCTGTTGCATTTTTGAAGCCTTAAGCTTGGAGGAGCCGGAATCAAATTTCAAGAAAAACAGATCAGAGCAGGCATGGTACGCAGGGTAATATTGTCAGCATTATAATGGGATGCCCCAAGTGTGACCAAAAGAGGAAAAGAAAGGTTTCAAGGATTTGAACATGGAAGCTCCTGTCCAGTTCATATATTGCACTTTTTTTTGAAAAAGCAATCCTCAGGGGAAAGGCTACTCTTTGACCATATGGATAATTTATGTCAGCCCCTCGTATGTCAGTTTATAGCAAATGTAGAAGGCAGGGTTGCTCCAAACAGTCTGCAGTGCTTTCAGTCAAGTGTTGGAGGAAAACTCATATGATGCTGCAAAAGGTTCCAAGTGATTCCAACTTAGCTCCTCCTCCCCACCTCTTTTATCTTTCAATCCCATCTGGGAAACACAGAGTGACACATTGATCTGGTGCTGGAAGCATCTGTGGAGTTCCTTTGCTTGTTCTCCTGATCATCTTTGACAGCTTCTATACTTTAAAAAAAGAATGGCTTACCTTCAGCAATCTGATGAGCTTGTCTTTTTTGTCAATGGCAAAAAGGTGAGTACAATATTTCTTTTCTTCAGTAATTTGATTAGAAAATGAAGTGGGAGCTTCCTGTATAGACAAGAAAGTCCAAATTAACTATGAAGGTTTTCAGGATTTTACAAACAGGATATCATTGCACAAGAGACCAGCATGGTGTAATATTTTGAGTGTCAGACTATGATGTTGGAGACTGGGTGTGAATCCCTATACTACTATGGAAACTTACCAGTTATAATTCTCCCTCACTGGCATGTAGCTACATCCATGTGTTGAGTACAGTAGCATCCTATGTTAATTGGCATGTACAGAGGAAGTATTGATCTTTAATTTTATACCTTTTCTTAACTTATGATTGGCGGTATCCAGGAACATCTCCAACAAGCATACTAGACAGCCCCTTTATTGTGGAAACTTCCGCAATAAAAAGAGGGCTTTCCAGACAACATTCTGAGCAACCCGGAATTAATTTGCCACAAAGTGATAGTGGGTTTATTCCACACCTTCTTGGAATACTGCAGACAGTATTCCCACAGTTTTCCGGGCTAAATTAGGGAATACCAACCCCCTCCTCAGAAGCCCCCCTAAACACAATAAAAAAGCAGAAGAGCTCACCCTACCTCCATGTGACAGCTGCTGGAGTTCTCCTGGCATGTACAAATGATGTGCCAGGAGGAAGGGGGGGGGAGGAAAATCACTCCTGCCCCCCACCTTTTCTCCTGGCACACCTTTTATACGAGCCAGGAGATCTCCAGCAGCCATCGCATGGAGGCAGGGTGAGTTCTTCTGCTTTTTTATTGTGTTTAGGTGGGCTTCTGGGGAGGGGGTTAAGTGTCCTGGTATTATATTGGGAAGTCCCAGTACATGAGTGTGGACAAGGCCCCAGGAACATCCATGTTTTTAAAACCCAGATGCTCCTGGGATAAAGTCCTGTCTGGAAAGGCCCTAAGTGGTTACTGCCACCCATGTTGACACATTACTGAACTGAGATGCATCCATCACAGAGAGGTTCGTGGAGACCTCCGGTGATACCATACTAACAATGTGGGACAGCAAGGACATGCCTGCAAAGTCGGATATTAGACCTTGGTCTCCTTATGAGCATCCAGCTTTCCTACCCATCCACCCAATGCTACCTAATGGGGGCTGCTCTCCTCAGAAACCTTTATGAACATCCCCCAAATCTGGTTGTAGCTAGTTGAGCACATAAGAGTGTGAGATATCACCATGCCCATGCAAAATTTTAGACTTTATTTTGGTCCCTGCTATTGAGACATTTTATATGCACTTGCTTGCAGTGTTGAATAAAAGAAACTGAAGAAAATAAGCAAGTGTTGTTAATTTCTACAATCACAAGCATAGCTAATCCTCTTCGACAAGGTAGATTATGTTTCTCTGGATTCTTGTTTCAGGTGATCGAGGAGTGTGCTGATCCAGAAGAATTGCTGCTTAATTACCTGAGAAAGGGGCGTATCCTTCAATGTTCTTTTGCACTGCATAACATCCTTCTTTTTCATTCAAAAAACAAGGATATCATCACATAACACCATTTTACTGTAATCCCAACTTTGTATTTTATTGCAAGACATCACAGCCCTCCTGGTGTTCTGCTGTGCTGTAGTATTCTTGGGTCACTTGAAAATGGATTTTTTTCTCAATTGAAATAATCTGTCCCACTATGATGCAGTAATAATTTTGGATCTGAATGTCCCATTCTGCTTAGTTGAGATATTTGGAATATAACGGACATGTGGTGGGTGGGATTTAATTGCTACTCCCTTGGAGATTCCCTGTAGATGTCTAGTCTATTTCTGATGGTTGAGCAAGGAAGACCCCAGAAGTCTAAAGAGCTACCAAGAGACCTGCTGTACATTTCTATTCCACACTCCCACATGGCTTTTTAGCCTTATTGTAATGTTGTTGTTTTAAATAAGGAGGAAAGTGCAATAGAACAATCCCAACAGATTCCTATCAAGGATTAATGCCTGAAGAAAGCTCAAGGTTTTATCTTATTTTGATTTGTGCAAATCGTCCTGAGTCCCCTTGGGGAGAGAAGATGGTTTATAAATAAAATATTTATTATTGTTTATGTATTAAGGTTTAGAAATAAAAAAGTAAAAACACAAATTTAAAATATTAATATACAATAATAGAATCAGGCAAGTGCTGGTGGAAAAGCACAGAAAAAAATAATGGAAGCGGCATGTTGTGCGTTCATTCTCTGGATCAGGGCAGGGAATAAGGGTGCTTCCATATTAGCATCATTATACAATTGTTAAACTGTGAAATTATGAAAACCCATTGAAAAATAGCATAGATCAGGACACAGAAGGTAATATAAATGGTGTTATCATATTTCAAGGGGAAAATGGAAACACCACAGAACCACAAGTGCAGGAGGTGTTGCAGCAGAGTATGTTACCGTTCCACTATTTTTTTGAATGCAGAAGAGGTTTTCAAGTAGAATTATCTGAAACAACTGACTGAGACGCCTTCCACACAGCTGTATAAAATCCACATTGAACTGAATTATATGGCAGTGTGGACTCAGATAATCTAGTTCAAAGCAGATATTGTGGATTATCTGCCTTGATATTCTGAGTTATATGGCTGTGTGGAAGGGCCGTAAACTGATAAGCACTTCCATAATTAAGACAAATTCAGATGACTGTGAAAATAAAGCCTTTTTTGTCCGTTATACAGGGTAATTAATCATCTCTAGTATCATTATCCATCATCTCTAGGCAGCAACTCAGGAAAATCCTGCTGAAATGTAGTCTTCTGTGTTTGCATTAAAGCAACAGCAGCACAATCCCTTATTTCACTGTAAACTCCCTAAGTTGGTCTCTTCCACTATCAGGAATAAATCCTGCTTTCAGAATTAACTTTAACTATCAGAAGATTCCTTCTAAACACTTTATCACATGGGGGAGCCCCCACCCATGCTGTTTCACCACCAAGTGTGGCGAAATGGTGGACACAAGGGGTGATTTGGTTGCCCCGTGCATCACTCCAACATGGCAAAATTTCCCCCATCACATGGCGGAAGCATCACCCAAACAGGGCAGTAGTGTTCTGACTCCATTGTTTGGGAAGAAGCTTCCAAAGACACTTCCACACCAGTTGGGAACGGGACCTCTGCTAGAAGTCAAACAATATCCTGCGACGGTTGGTGTGGGGTTCCATCCCTGAAGAAGGCTGGAGCATCATAGCATGCTGAATTTGGTAAGTGTGATATGGTCCTAAGTGAAAAATGACATTATAAATATTAGGGTGGAAAAGCCTAAATATTAAACAGGAGAAATAGCTGGTTTTTAGGGCTGGGCGGTTTCGTTTCGTAATTTCGTAATCCGTTAAAAATTCGTTATTTTTTTTTATAACGAAGCGTAACGAACCATTCAGGAGCAACTAAAAAACGAAACTAATTTTTAAATTCGTTTCGTAATTGTTTCGAATTCGTTTTGTATTTGTTTCGTTATCGTTTTGAAATCGTTTCGTTATTATTTCCGCATGTCTGGGGCAAGTTTTATAGTTGTTGTTTGTTTAATCAGTGAAAAAAAATTATAAATATCACACCAAGTCAACAACAGAGGGAGAGGGAAGCTTCAGAAGTTCCCCCTGTCCCATTTGGAGGTTTTTTAGCGTATTGCACGGTCGCGTCCGCCATTAACGAATCGATTCGTAATTGTTTCGTAATTGTTTCGTATTGTTTTGTAATTTACGAAATTTCGTAAATATCGAACTTTTTAAAAGAAAAATTTCGGAATTCTTTTAAAAATCGAAACGCAAAAACCCCCTAAAAACGAATCGATTTTAGAAACAAATTTTTCCGTGGTTGCCCAGCCCTACTGGTTTTCCTTAATAATATGGTGTTAAGTCCACCTCACAGGAACCAAGTATGGCTGTGGAATCGGAGGTTGTGGGGCCTGCACCGTGATGATTTCTACATACAACGCAGACTCCAAGAAAATACGGTATCCTTCAGAAAAGGGCAAGACAGCTCAATAAATCTACACCACAACTTAATGTATTTTGACTTGAAATACCTGAAGTAATTTTCTACCTTATTTAAAGTGTTCTGGGAACTGCCACTAACAAGGGTGCAGCAGAGAGCAAGAGAGATGGGCATGGGCAAGCACACACAAAACACTTGGGGTTCCCGGCCCCTTTATTTCCAGCGTGCTCAGAACTTGACTGAACATTCATGCACTCCCTTCACAAGGGCACATGATAAGGGGCAGAATTGGGAAGGGGAGCAAATGAGAGGCCACGAAGAAGGGGTGGGCTAAGATCCTGTAGTATGCCAAGTTTATGTTCAGATCATTGAGAACCTTCCCCCAACTGCTGCTATAGATGTAAATTAAAGTTTGGGAAAATTGCACCATCTGTAATCCCAGCAGGATAGCCAGTGGCCAAGGTGGCTCGGAAATTCTGGTTCTTGTACTCCAACCCATTTTTCCACGCTCAGTCGGAAATAATGTGACTCAGCATCTTTCCAACTACATCAAATAACACAAGTCTTTTTGTAGTGACTTTCCAAATGTATTTTGTACAACTGATCTGGATTTTTGTGTGTGTCAGGAGTGACTTGAGAAACTGCAAGTCGCTTCTGGTGTGAGAGAATTGGCTGTCTGCAAGTACGTTGCCCACAGGATGTCCAGATGTTTTGATGTTTTACCATCCTTGTGGGAGACTCCTGTCACGTCCCCACATGTGGAGCCAGAGCTGACAGAGGGAGCTCATTTGTGCTCTCCCCGGATTCATATCTGCAACCTGTCAGTCTTCAGTCCTGCCAGCACAAGAGTTTAACCCTTTGCTCCACTGGGAGCTCCTAGTGAACTGGTCATGCCTAGCCTTTAAACCAGATATTTTGTCCAAGGTTCTGAATGTTGAGTAACACCTATATTCCGTTTTGAAGAGTTTTCCAAAATACAGTACCCCTATCGTGCTTAGTAAATTCTGATGTCTCAGCCAGGATAGCCCTGAAACCATCTGCAACCTAAGCTGGCCCTGGCAGAGATACACAGCTTGGAGTCCACACTGATCAAGAGTCAGAATTGCCCTTAACACTCCCAAGACATTATCCAGCCAACTCTTGCCTCCTCCCGCTCTTCTCATTGTATGGTGCCGCAGTAACCACTGTGGAAGGAGTGGGGTCCACAACAACCAAGCTGCACCCCATTCAGGTAAGACAGGAGATTATAGAATGAAATAAAGACATCATCAAAGTCCAGGGATTCCAGGGTGCAGAATCAAAAAGCCTGGTGATTTGTACTGCACCCTGCCCCTACCTCAGCCCAACATGAGTGAATTAGGATCCAGGCTGAAAAGCATCTCCTTATTGCTCCCAATTCACTCTGCTCCTTGCCCAGCTGTTGTAATTGCAACTGCTGTGTCCCTGTAAGGGACTCTGAAAAAGTGGCACTTATCGGGAATCCTTGGTGCCAAAGTTATTGTTAGAGTGATCTACATATAGCAAAGGAAGGAGAGCAAGGGGGAAGTACAGTATTTTCTGGCGTATAAGACTACTTTTTAACCCTAAAAAAATCTTCTCAAAAGTCAGAGGTTGTCTTATATGCCAGGTGTTGTCTTATAGGGTGGGTGCTGAAACTTCCGAGCCAGACTGGAGAATCTGCGGTCGCTGCATTTGGTGGGGGAGCTCAAAAAAGGCCGCGGCCGCATCCTTGCCATATGTGGTGACCGTATGAAAGCAACAAGGGCGCCACTGTACAAGAACAGTAGAAGAAAATCCACTCACCAGGATTTGTGGAAAGAAGGGATTTAATACAGTCCCAATGACGAGATGAGGGAGCGCCTCATCGGGAAGGTGTAAGTGAAGGGCGGAACAAGTTGCAAGCATCCGGGATGCCTGGGGTATGGAAAAAAGAGATAGAGCAGTGCTGCGCCCAGAAAAATATGCCTCTTTTACCCATCTGGCATGCCCTTGTATCCTATTACCATACCTCCTTCTCTGCCTCTCAGATCTCGCTCCTGAGTGAGATCTGAGAGGCAGAGAAGGAGTTACGGTAATAGGAAAATTACCATATTGAAATCAAATGTTTTTTTTTTTTTTTTATTTTGTGTGTGTTGGAAGAGGGATAGTCTTATATGGCGAGTATATCCCAAACTCTATATTTTAAGTTTGGGAAGAAGGTAAGGAATCTTACTGTGTTGCTAGCTTATTGGACATAATAGTCCAACAGAATCCTCAAGAGTCAAAATACTCAAATAGTTCCTACTCAGGGTTACCGGAATATAAAGCTCACTATCACCCTACAAACCTATAGCAGGGGTGCCTTGTATCTTTTGGGCACCCTTTTAAACAATGCTTTTTCTTTCTAGCAAAGGCTTGCAAAGTGCCATGGTTCCCAGTGTGGCTTCTGCACTCCTGGAATGGTGATGTCCATGTATTCCTTACTAAGAAACCACCCTGAACCCAGCATGGAGCAGATTGCTGCATCTCTGGATGGTAAGCCAGCTTTCTCCCCTTCCTTATTTGGAAACTGTTTATCAAATAGGACACACAGATAAAACAAACTGTGACTGAAATCCTGTTCTTTAATCCTGTGGTCAACCAACACACAGTTCAGAGGGTCTACTTTAGGTAGGACTAGTAACAGAACCCATGTCTATTGTATTGATATATGCATCCTGGTTAGTTGTCTACTGTTCCACAGAGCTGTTACAACTCAAGCTTTGGTCATCATCTTCTGCTGCCTGATCTTCCTGAAGCCCTTGGGCATTGCAGATGTCTCTGCTTATGGTCAGCTCTGCAGTCAAGAACAGGGCTTATTCACACTTTTCAAGTATAGCACTATTGTTCACTTCTAATTGCCACATTTCTGTACCTTGTAATACCAGGATTTGGAGCCTAGGGAGGAGCATTTAGAATGATCAGCCAAAAAGCTCTAGTGCCTCAGGAGACCACAGACCCCGGGTTTCTGTAGGATGGAACCATAGCTGTTATAATTGGCTATAACTGTTTAGTTTCTCCAAACCAATTTCTTGTCCTTCCATGAGACGCAAAACCTTTTATATGAAGCACTTTCCTCACTCTTCTTCATAGTAGGACCAGCTGAGCCTGGTCAAAGGGTTCAAAGGGGCCCCATTGAACTCAATTAATATGATTAATATTAATGTGAAAATAAGTATCAAATCATGTTAGACTTTATTTCAACACTGGAAGCTGGAGGTGTAAATGTTCTTAACGTCCTCTTTAGATATATTACTGTTGGTCGTCCATATCCGTGCGTTCTGCACCTTTGGATTTAACCCCGTAGTTTTGTCATTTTATATAAAGGATGTCATTTTATTCTTCTATTGTATATGATGGGAGTTGAGCATCCATGAGCATCCATTTTGATATCTTGGAACCAAACCCCAATAGATGCCAAGGGCTCACTGTACATCCAGGAGACGGCTATTGTTGGAAGGACTGGCACTTCCGACAAAGGAGAAAGACGGAGATCTGGTTAATTCAATTTATCACTGAAGTATTAAGAGTGTATAGAGGGTAAAGTTGACTGGAATGGATGTCTCTGATTCAGATGACTGGGAATGCTATCTTATATGGGTTAATCTTTGTGCATCATACTGTTTTCTAGGGAATTTGTGCCGTTGTACAGGATACAGACCCATAATCGATAGCTTCAGTGCTTTTTCTCCGGTAAGAGTAAAAATGAATAAATGAATCTATTAATTTTGCTGGAGGTGGCCATTAAGTACATATTTGCCTTCTCTGGATGATTACCCTCTGGAAAGAGCTGCTCACGTTTTGCAAAATCTCCCAATATGTTATATGGCAACTGGGAGAGAAAGACTTTGTGCACACCGTGTTTTAAACAAATCCACATTCCCCTCATCTTACAGCATGAAATTACAGATTTTGCTAAACAAAATGAAAGAAATCATATGTTGCATCCAAACAAAAATCTCTCTCTTTTTGAATGATGTGCATGTATACACCATTCTTCTCCCACATCTAAGCATTGCACATACGCATTCCATCCTCCAAAACCCACATTGTTGGAAATAACAACCTTCTTCAAGCCTTCTCTAGTAATTTGTTTATCTATGATCCTGTCGCTTACTTATTATGTATATGTTCTGGTATGCAGGTTTTTTTCCTTTGTTCTATGTTTTCCTGGGAAGTTGTGGAAGGGGCTATAGACCACGTGATCCACTCTGAGATGAGCACATGCAAAGGTTATGCTTTTTTAAAACACGTGCCAACACACAGAGTAATTCCCCACCCCTGTTCCTAGGTCTAGGAATTGCTCACATATATATTGGTGAAAATCTCTCCACACATGATCCAGCAGTGAGATAATTATTTCTTCATGTATATTAGCAGTTTCTGTGGAACTGATTTATTATAATTATTTTGTCTATAACTCAGAATTTGCTTGTTACCTATGGCAAGGGATTCTGGGAGTTTTAATAAAGTTATTTTTATAAGGTTCCAGATGGATTCAGAACATTAAACCTTATGCCTGTTACATTTCTTGGAAATTGTAAACATAGTATTATAATTGAATAAATTCCTTTGTTTAGGAGTGTTGCCCATTGGCAGGAAGTGGGAAGTGTTGCATGGACAAAGAAGAAGGGAATGAGATGAAAGGAACTGATTCTGGAGAAGAAGACCCATCATTGCATTCTGGAAAGGGAAACAGGGTAAGCTACAGACTGTCAACATTTCTATATTTCTCACGAAAAGCATTTGTAACGTTGTTCATGCCATAGCATTTATCTGAGTTCAAACTCAACCTATGTGGTCTTTAAAGCAGAGATCTGTCTCGCTGCAGATTGAGTCAGGCATCTTATGTTTAATTAGTATCCAACTGAGTAGGCAAAGTTTTTGCTAAAGGAAATTAAACCTAGGGGAATGTGAAAGTAAAAGTTTGGCAACTGTCCACTCAAGACCCCTCTTTGGTTTCTTCTTTACCAAGTATGTATCAGACTGTATCAGATCTGATCCTATTCGATCAGATCCTTCTGTGTTGGCACCAACTCTGCAACTCTTCAAAGGCAATCCTTTGTCTTTAAAAATGATGCTCTCCTTGAGTCCTCTGCTTCTCCTCTCTGAACTGTAACTAGTTGCCTGAAAGCGAAATCTGTCATCCAGAAGATGGAGCTGAATTGTTCATCATTGCTCAGGATTAAATCTTATAATGCATTGAAATTTCAAGGAAATCAATTTTGGAAGAGCAAAAGTGTAACAGACTAACCACATCATCACATGAGTCATTTGTAGTGTTTTTAGCCTTTTTATATGTGTGTATTAGAGTGGTCTGTAAACATGGGCTTATGTTTATGTGATTTTATATCAGTTGCTCCCAGAATGAAATATCACACTGTATTCAAGAAGAGAGAGTATCTCTCTATGTCAGAACTTCAAATTCATCCTGAATTTCTGATTATTCTCTCACTGGTCAATATAGGAACCCCTGGTGGCACAATGGGATAAACCCTTGTGCCAGCAGGACTGCTAACTGAAAGGTTGGTGGTTCGAATCCGGAGAGCAGGGTGGGCTCCCATCTTTCAGCTCCAGATTTCCATGAGGGGACATGAGAGAAGCCTCCCACAGGGTGGTAAAACATCTGGGCATCCCCTAGGCAACGTCCTTGCAGATGGCCAATTCTCTCACACCAGAAGCGACTTGCGATTTCTCAAGTCACTCTTGACATTGAAAAAAAAACTGGTCAATATCCAAGTGATGGGATAAATCAGGGAATTTTTGTTATGTAAAAAAGAGAAAAATCTTGTCGATTCTGTTCATAAGAAACATTTAACAAACAGGTGAATTCCCATACCTGAGTAAACAGGAACCTTTACGGTCTATCTGAATAATGATTTCCCCTAAAACAGAGGTAGGAATCCTGTATCCCTTTAGATGTTGTTCTGCAAGTTGCAGCACCACTAACTAGTTTAGTGACCGATAAGGAAAACAGAGGGATGCAGTTCAAGAATATCTGAAGAAACACATAATTACCATCCTGCCCTAAAATGAGTAAAATATTTTGCACTGTATTTTATGTACACCAATTATTGAAAATCATTCACAGTCTATATTTCAATTCGCAGGAACCTAGCTTGTGATATAAAATCACATAATCTGTCATAACCAATGAGAAAGGATTGTGAAAGCTGTCAGTTCTGTACCCTTGTTTTGCATAGGAGTTTGTCGCATAAGGAAAATCTCAATTACAATAGGATTATCACGGGATTTATCACATAGAGTTATTCATTTCTGTTGCTTTGGGGGGGGGGGGAATAAGACCCTTGGAAGGCATTTCTATCACAAAATGATGTCATTAACCTGTTTTTGTGTGTTTGTATAAGTAATTCTTTCCGGATTGTCTCCCACTGACAAAGCGGCAAGACGAGAGTAATGTCATGGCATGCGTCCAGGGTAGCAAAACTCTTATGCTGTGTTGGAGGTTTTTTTGGGAGGGTGCAGTTCTGGCAAAATAATATTTCTCACTGATCATCATCATGGCTAAAAATTCAAAGCTTTTCTAAAAGGAGATTACTTTTTTAAAAAAACTCCTTTCAAATGCATTCAGTAATCCCATTTGTTCTGTGGCTCAAAATCCACTTTCCATATTAGTATTAAATATTTGGGTTTTTCCCCCTTAGATGTGTTCAGGTTTATGCAAGTCAGAGGAATTCCATCCCAGGGATCCAACCCAGGATTATATATTTCCTCCTGAACTCATGGTAAGCAATCAACCTTCCATTGATATTTGCTGCAAATGATTGGCAGAGGACCAGTATCAGAATGAGGAGGATTGAGCCCTTTCCTGTTTGAGATCAAGTAACCAATGCCACAGCATCAATATGTATGATACAAAACGCCAACAAAGTTATTTGAGGACTTTAGGTAAAAAAAATTCTACAAGTGCCACTCCTCCACCACTCTCTGGTGGCAACATTGTGTGTGTACCTCTACATTACTTTTAGACTTATTATAACCTCATAACTTTCATAGGGCTTTCTTAGGCAGTGAGTACTCAGGGCCCTTCCACACAGCCATATAACCCAGAATATCAAGGCAGATAATCCACAATATCTGCTTTGGACTGGGTTATCTGAGCCCATACTGCCACATAACCCAGTTCAAAGCAGATAATGTGGGATTTTATTCACCTGTGTGGAAGGAGCCTCAGAAGTTGTTTTGCAGTTCCTTCCTCTGAAATATAGCCTACAGCACCCAGTGTTGATTGACAGTCTCCCATTAAAGTACTTACTCTCACTAACTTTGCTTAGATTCCAAGATAAATGGGGATTTGCTGCCTTTGGGGCATTTAGGTCTTGGTAGTGACTTTGCAGTATGCTCTTGCTTCTCTTTCATCATATGCAAAATTGGTTGCCCAAAGTGAGTGCCACACCTTGCCTAGAACAAGCCATATCATGCATATGTGCACATTTGCTTGCCAACTTTCTTTTATTTTTAAGTGCCACTTGGAGACAAAAGGACAAATGGGTTTCTCTTTCCGGCTGATCACTGGCGCTTCAAAAGACAGAAGTTTCATCCCAGTAAAGATAATATCTAACCCATTATCATTATGCAGACATATTTACGTTTCCCATCAACCATAATATCTCAAAAGATATTATTTGCCTATGAGATGTAATTATTTAATTTGGGAATGAGAACCGCAACTTCCCTCAACCATTTGTTATGTGACCTTGACACTCCCTGATGCCTCATTGTTCTGTTCCACAGAGAATGGCTGAAGAGAACAAAGGAAGGACCCTGGTTTTCCATGGAGAGAGGACCACCTGGATTTCTCCTGCATCCTTGGAAGAACTTCTTAATCTGAAAGCAACCTACCCAGATGCACCTCTTGTGGTGGGGAACACCAGTGTAGGTGAGCAGGTGGAGCCCCATGTGGCAGTCATTCAGAGCTTTCGATGGGGAGAAACTCCCAGCCAGGAAGGAACACTTTGCCTTTCAGATGTCTGTGGTAAGACCGACCCTACCACTACACAGAAGGAGGCACTTTCTAAGGAAACAAATTCTAGGAAGAAAGGGACCATGTGATGAACAGAATGTGTGTGTTTGTGTGTGTGTAAAAGAGAGAGGGAGAGGGAGAGGGAGAGTTGGCCTGCTGCCCACATGTACAGTATTATGTTTTCAGCATCAAAACTTTCAACATCAAAACATCACCTAACAGTGTAGTCAGTTTGGATTCATACTCAGTCACTTCAGAGTAGCAAATAGAGATGTGACGAGGCAATTCACTGTAACAACATTGTTGGAAACAGAAACCTAGTTTAACTATTGTCAATGCATTGAGATTCCCACTAATCCCAAAAATCAGTCCAGGCTAATTCAGATGACATGTGATTTTCCCAAGGAACAAGACTATCTATAGCAGCCGCCAGAATGGGTTGTTCCCCACCAGTACAGACAACAAACTCTACTTTCTGTTCAGAACAGCCATTGCCTATTTGCTCCTTCAGGGGATTTTATTTTAGAAATGAATTGGACTCTTAAAGTGTGATCCATAAAAAATAATTAATTCAGTGCTACTTGAAGGGTTAGTCCATGGATTGGTGCCAGTCATTAAGGTGTTTGCTGGAGGCAAGTTTCCAGGACAGAAAGCAACAATCATCGATATATACATAATATCAGTTCATGGCATCTTGACAGAGAGGGGAAATGCTGGCACTTTGATCTATGATAAGCATTGCTCTAGTTACTCTGAGAGCTAACTAGTAGAGATGTGCATTTTTTCTCTTTGCCTCATAATTCGAATCAAATTCGTTAAATTTTCTACTAACAAGGCAATATCTAATACATGGATGTGGCTCACAACCAAAATTTGAGAATAGAAATTTACACCATACGTTTTTGTTTTGGTTTTGTAAATCTCAGAAGGCTCCCAAAGCATTAGGTACATTCTCAGCATTAGGAGCAGAAAAAGAGGGAGCAGTGTTTGCTGGGAATAGCACAGAACTCTGGGAAATGTAGTTTGAGAAGGGAGGAGCTTCAGAAGACCCTGCCCTAAACTACATTTCCCAGAATGCATCAGCATCAGAAAGCACCAATCAAGGTGGCAGAGAGAGAGGTTTGTCCCTCCCTAACGGCAGTCAGTGAACGTTCCAATGAATGGTTGAATCTGCAAAGAGAAGAGCTGATGGGTACTTCTAGTAAGTAAATTTCTGTGCTGGGCTCGGAAGAAATCCCTTACTGGATGGCCCCCATTCTGTGGGGGAAGCATATTAATTAGTTTAGAGGCTGGATGGCCATCTATCAGTAGAGTTTTGATGGTGCCCTTCTGTGTGGAAGAAGGGGGTTGGACTAAATTGTCCGTGGGGGTCCTCTCCAACTGTAGGATTCAATGAAGATGTAGACTTGGTTAATATTGATTTCTATTGGTTAATAGGAGAGTCATTCAATGTGATAGCTATTGTGGCTTTAAAAATGATTTGTCAAAATATTTTTTTAAATTCCCTATAACCATAGATGTATAAATATTTCTGAAAATTGGGGGAAATGATCCCTTGTTATATCCTGTCATTGTACAGAAGGTTCAAGAAGACGTTGTTTATAAAAACTTTGAAAATTCCCCAAAATTCCATAGATAAGTGAAATATTCCAAAATTTGGTGGGCTACCAGTGGTAAATGTGTTCTACCATTGCATCAAGTCTCACCACATTAAGAGGCGTGATGACTTCCGGTGGAGGCGTCATGGCGGCAGCAGCAGGCTTCCGAGGCTCCGTGAGCCAGTGGAAGGCCTGAGCGTCCCCCAGCAGGGTTAGGGGCCACAAACCCCACAAACCGACGGACTGAGGTCGGCTTGTCTGCCAAACCTGGTGAATTGCGAGGGCGGGTGGCACTACCCTCCCTCAAGGGGGGTGGTCGGACCTGCCTGGCAATCTCAGGGACGGCACCCAGGGGGATAGCACGGTTTGAAAGAACCGCAAACGCAGCCTGCCTCCACAAAAGCAGCAAGCACGAAGAAAGAAGAAAGAAAAAAAAAGAAGGGGAAAAAATAGAGAAGCGGATTACCGGGTCCACCACCTTTTCATAGCGGGATTGAGGATAACAAACAATGAATTGGAAAAGCAAGCAAGGGTATGACAAGATTATAACATGGCTGAACTGAGGAACTGAGGAACCCTTCCTATCCTTCTTACATCGCCCATACGCGTTGATTCGGGGAAGAATCGGCAATTGGAGAACCGAATGAGTAAAAAGTGAGGAAATGTGAGTAGCTACTAGCACGCTCATAGCAGCATTTAACTTCTCTCAGAACCCTACGAGTTACTTAGGCCATTTAGACCCTTGCTCGGATTCCCCCCCACCCCATCCATCACCTACCCTCCCTGCCAGTCTTCCCGCCCCTCACCCTCGCGCCTTGCCGACAAGTAAAGGAAGAAAACCTACCTAGTATTACGGTCTTGTCCCCCCCTCCTCACGAGAAGGACAGCTCTAAACGAAGCGGTACGTCCATAAGCGGGCGAATCCGACGCACAGGACGTACAGGACGCACAGGACGCAACCCCGCACCACAACAGAAGGCGCAGGCGCAACCTTCCCCCATTCTCTCCCCAACGCGCGAGAAATCGCGGAAACCACCGTGAGAAGAGCGGGGGAAAGGGGAGAGTGAAGGAGCGAAAAGCCCCCCAAACTGAAGACATAGGAGGGGCCACTGCCGAAGGAAGAAGCAGCAAGGGAGAGAAAGAGAGAACGTCCGGCCGGATATAAGAAAGGAACGGGTGAACAGCCGGGAAGGTAAGGTAGGACGTCTAAAATATTCAAGGATGGCGGACGCTGCGAGGCGATAGCGGGGCTGGTCTTGGAGGGAAGGAGAACGGAGCACCGGTAAGAAAGGGACGAAAATAAAGAACATCTGAGACTCCGAGAAGTGAGGGAAAGAGTGGGGGAAAAGAGAAAGAGAACGGTCTGAGGAGCTCCAAAGACAAAGAAGACAAGAAGAAAGAGGGGATCAAAAGAGATAGGGAACAACACAGAAAAGGCATCACAGGAAACCCCCCCCCCAAAAAAAAGAGGTAACTAAGTGAGGAAGAAAAATAGAATAGAATCAAGGCCCTGAGCAAGAAACCCCTAAGTAACGGACGGACTAAAGAAACATAGAGGGATAAAACACTACAAGCAATAATAGAGACAGACCTGCCGGGAATCTAAAAATAATTCCAAACCTCAAGATCCAYCCATCTCAATAGAAAGGAAAGGGGCAGGATGGCGGAGAAGATACCATCAGCAGTCAAACAAAGCAAAACAACAAGTGCCATAACAAACTACACAACAAGCCCTCTAACTGCAACTACAACTCTACCCATAATGCAGGCACCGGTTTCAACTCCTACCCCTGCTAGAAGACTCTCTACYCAACCCGATACGACTCCGAAAGAAACAACCTTTAAAGATCTATTGCAGGAAATGATGAAGATGCAAGAAAAGATAGAAAAAAAATAGAAGATAGTCAAGAAAAAACACAACAGAATATGGAAAAACTATTTCAAAAAGAAATGGGAAAGTTGAGACAAGAAATGAAGGAAGACATGGCTCAGATACAGAAAGAGGTCYCTGGCGTACAGAATGAATTAAAAATTTTAAAGAAAGAAAACCTAGGATTAAAGAAGGGCCAAGACAAAACTGAAGCCAAAATTAAGTTATTAGAGGAAGCGYAGGACAAARTAGAAAAACAACAAGAGCTCTGGGCTAGCAAAGAGACTGATTTTCAACTGAGATTTAGAAATATTGAAGAGAAAGAAGGAGAAAACCTGAGAGAAATAATTACGGAAATCACGGCCCGCACAATCAACACCGCCCCAGAGGAAATAAATAAGGAAATTGACACGATACAAAGAATTAATTCTGGCTATGCTAAAAGGAACAAGGTCCCGAGAGACATTGTGGTCAAATTCTGTAGAAAAAGTGTTCGCGACGAGATAATCAGGATGAAAGCAAGAGATCAGCCCACATATAAGGGGAAAAAAGTGATTATACTTAAAGAATTTACGACCACGTCAATGAACAAAAGGAAGAAATATTATTTCTTGACAGACGAACTCAAGAAACACAAGATCAAATTCAGATGGGAACGTCTAGAGGGTATTCAAGTGACATACAGAGAAAATAAATTCTGGCTTACATCTGAGGACAAAGCAAAGGAATTCTATAGAAGACTCAAAAAAGATCTGGATCCAACCGTAAACAACGCAGGTGCAGCGGAATCGAACAAAACGAACCAAGACCAGACGAGGACCAATTATAAAGATGAGCAATGGAGGATAAAAGACAAAAAAAGACCGAGACCAGAATCGCTGGACGAAGAGGAGGGAAAGAAGGACATAGGACCTTCAACCAGTGAAAAGCAAACATCCGATGACGAGTAAAATTAAAATATACTCTAACAACGTCAACGGGATGAACACCCCGAACAAAAGAAGACTTATATTCAACCTACTTAAAAAAGGCAACTATGACCTGATCGCCCTGCAGGAGACGCACATCATGGCAAAAAATAGCACATACCTGACACAACCTCAACTGGGAAAAGAATTTCACTCACTAGCAACACAAAAAAAAGAGGAGTAGTAATTTATGCAAAAAGTTCATTAAACGCAACAATGGCGTTTAAGGATGAAGAGGGTAGGATGGTGGGGATTAAAATCAGAAGTAACGAACAAGAGATTTTGTTTTGTAACATCTACGCCCCCACGGGCCCCAAAACAAATTTTGTAAAGGAACTCCGGAAAAAACTCTCAGAACATATACAAGCAGATATCATGTTAGTAGGAGACTTCAACGGGGTAATAGATTGCGATATGGACAGAACAAGGAAAAACAGGAAAGATACCAACGGAGGGAAATTACCAACTTGCTTCCTTGAATTACGAAATGATCTATTCCTTCAAGACGCATGGAGAGTCAGGAATCCGGAGGGAAGGGACTACACCTTCTACTCGGACAGACACTCATCATGGTCCAGAATAGACGCCTGCTGGGCCTCCAAAACCCTAATGACCAAACTGAATAAAATCCAGATCCTGCCCAGAACACTGTCTGATCACTGCCCGATTCTAGTAGATATCCAAGGGTCCCAACGACAACGGAAGTGGAAACTAAATGAATTCCTCTTAAGAAAAGAAGAAGACAAAGAGATATTCAGGAAAAACATTCAGGAATTCTTCGAACTGAACAAAACTGCCGGGATACAACCAGAGGTGATTTGGGATGCCAGCAAGGCAGTGCTCAGAGGGCTTTTTATTCAGAAAGGCGCAATCAGGAATAGGAAAAGACAAGAAGAACTAGGCGCCCTAACAGGAAGAATAAAGGAAAAAGAAGCGGAACTCAAAAAAAAACCCAAGAAACAAACGGATTAAGCTGGAGTTGGAACTTTTGAAGAAACAGTTGAACTCATTCCAACTGGAAAAACTCGCAAAAAATCTAAAATACATGAAAGTCAACTATTTTGCCAACGCAAATAAGCCGGGCAAATGGCTGGCCAGGAAACTGATGAAGAAAAAACAACAACAGCACATCACCAAAATTTCAAGAAATGGGAAAACCTACGATACAGAAGAAGCGATCTTAAATCAATTCAAAGAATTTTATGAGGAACTATACCAAAAAGACAAAATAAAACCGGAGGACATAGCAGATTACCTGGCCAAGCACAAAGTAGAAAAAATCAACGATGAGCAAAGAGAACTCCTCAACACACTAATAACAGAACCGGAAATCAGGAAAGCAATAAAGGATTTACCAAATAACAAAGCACCAGGTCCGGATGGATTCACTGCAAAATACTACAAGACATTCCAGGACGATCTGATTCCGCATTTAAAAGAAATATTCAACAACATCTTACTTGAAGCCAGAATGCCTGATTCTTGGCAGGAAGCAACCGTTACACTCATCCAAAAAGACACAAAGGAGACTGAAAACATGAAAAACTATCGTCCGATATCGCTGTTGAATACAGATTACAAGATTTTTACCAGTGTAATTGCTAGCAGAGTGAAAAAATATCTAAGCAACACCATTAATGAAGATCAAACGGGATTTCTCCCATCAAGACATATGTGCGAAAATCTAAGAACGATCTTGGATATAATAGAGTTTTACGCAAGCAATCCACAGAAAGAGCTAGGCTTGTTGTATCTCGATGCCGAGAAAGCTTTCGATCGGGTCAGTTGGGATTTCATGCTTCAATTAATTAGAGAAAAAGATATGGGTTTTCACTTCATGAATGTGATCAAAACAATATACTCAAGACAGAGAGCAAAAGTCAGGATCAACGGACAGGAA